TATATATATATATATATATATATTTTCTTAAGTTTTCGCGGGTACTTACATGTATGGCATTCGGCTTTGCTCGGGTATTTTCCCACGTCATAGTAGTTGTGCTTTTAAAGTTGTAGCAACGTTTCGGCAGAATCTCATCTGCCATCATCAGGCTTTTGTATTGTGTTCGTCTGTATTTCCACCTTCTTGCGATGTTAACTTGCGCAGGCCTGTGCAGGATGGAAAAACTATTCTGAGAAGGCACCAAAATTCCTAAAACGTGCCTAATCAAAGCATAGCAGTTTGAATAAATCATCTAATTGAGGTATAAGCTAAAGAGTAGAGAGAAATGAAGACCGTTTTGCTCCATAGCCTGCTTCAGAGTTTGTACTATGAATGCTAAGGTCAAGAGAATGAAAATCAATAATGGAAACAATGTTATAAGCACTTCTTTATCCTGTTTGATGGCTATGGCTGAATGATTCAGAGAGGAAGGGTTTTTGTACAAGTGGTAGTCTGACACGAGTTTGATTCTTCTCATCTGAAAAGGGAGGGAAGTCCATCACAACAACAGCAAAAAAACAAAAACAAAAAACCCAAAGCTATGTTGTTCTGGTGGTTAAGGTACCAGGTGAGAAATCCAGGAGACTGTGAATTCTAGACCTGTCTTAGCCACGAAAGCTGGCTGGGTGACTTTGTGCTAATCAGCAGGAGACAATGAGTTCTAGTCCCGCCTTAGTCTTGAAAGCCAGCTGGGTGAATTTGTGCCAATCCACAGGAGACAATGAGTTATAGTCCCACCTTAGGCATGAAAGTGATTGGCTGACTTTGTGACAAACAACAGGATACTGAATTTTTCTTCAGTTCTAACTGACTGGTAGAGAATGGAAGGATTTATATGCAGTCATCATAGTTGGATACTAAGAGTGCTAACAACCAGATGTCTGCAAAGAGTATAACCGTTCTATTCTCCATCAGTCAGTTAGAAGTGAAGAAGCTTCTTGGATGAGAAACAAAATGTTTTCAAACAAAAAAAGAAGAAAGAAAGTCCAATTGCCTTTTGGAAAACCACCTTTGGGATACCCAGTTGTCCTTGATGTAGATATCTGGAGAACCTCTCTGAAGGTGATGGAAGAGGAAAGTCACAAGTAGGAAGGCGGCAGCCAAAAAAAGCTATTACAATTCTTGGTTGGAGGCATAGAATCAAACTCATGCGAAGCATTAGTACCGCTTTATAAAGCCTTAGTAAGGCCACACCTGGAATACTGCATCCAGTTTTGGTCACCAGATTACAAAAAAAGAAGTTGAGCCTTTGGAAAAAGTACAGAGAAGAGCAACTAAGACAATTAAAGGCCTGGAGAATGGAGTCTAAAACATATGAAGAATGGTTGCAGGAATTGGGTATGGATAGGCTAGAGAAATGAAGGACTGGGGGGGACATGGTAGAAGAATTCCAGTATTTGAGGGGCTGCTACAAAGAAGAGGAGGTAAATTATTCTCCAAAGCACCAAAGGGCAGGACAAGAAACAATGGATGAAAACCAATCAAGGAGAGAAACAATCTAGAATTAAGGAGAAACTTCCTAACTTTGAGAACAATTAATCAGTGGAAAGATGCCTCCAGAAATTGTGGGTGTTCCATCACTGGAGTTTTTTAAAAAGAGACTGGATAGCCATTCATCTGAAGTGGTATAGGGCCATGATGGCGAACCTATTGCACGCATGTCGGAAGTGGTATGTAGAGCCATCTCTCTGGGCTTGCCAGCCGTCGTCAGTTGCTCTTCTGAGTTCTGGTGTGCGCTGGTCAGCTGATCTTCATGCATGCATGCTCACCAGCCAGCTGGTCTTTACATGTGCGGGAGCACCAGAAACTTGAAGAGCAGCTCCCGGCGCATGCATGTGCACCAGCCACCCTGGACTTCCAGTTTGTAATGCACATGCACACACGAAGACCAGCTGGCTGGCACGCACATTAGAAACTGGCCAGCCAGCTGGTCTTCACATGTGCATGTGTGTTAGAAGCTGAAAGACCAGGTAGCCAATGTGAATGCACACACTGGGAGCTGCTCTTCTGGTTTTCCGCATGCACGTGTTTCAGCACTGGTTCCTTTTCAGCATGCGTGGTATGGCCACTGGTATATATAACCACCACTGGTATAGGGTCTCTTGCTTAGACTAGAACAGTGGCCCCAACCTTTTTTGTGCCACGGCCCGGTACCGGCATCACAAAATGATCCGCAGCCAGGTACCGGCATCAGCACGCATGACAAGGCAAGGCGACCGAGCGACCGGCCAGCCAGCCGTCCCCCGCTTCTCCCCGCCACCTTCAACTCCTCCTTTGTACCTTTGCCGATGGGCTTCACTTCGGGATGGCTTCGGGACGATCCCTCGGCTCACCTTGCCTTGGGTGCTGAAAGAATCCTCGCACCTTAGTTTCGTTCGAAGCCCCCCGCTTTGATGAAACTAAGGCGCGAGGATTCCTTCAGGACCCAAACGCCGCTTTCCAACCAGAAAAGCTCACCCAGAAGCACTTTCTCGTCAAACAAGATGGCGGCGCCCAGCAAACCGGCGGCCCGGTAGGAAATGTTCCACGGACCGGTACCGGTCCGCTGCTCGGTGGTTGGGGACCCCTGGACTAGAAGACCTTGAAGCTCTATTCTGAATTTGAAAGCACTCCCTGAGGTGCACCCATGTTCTAAGTCTCAACTATACCTTTCTTCCAAAGGAAATATATTTTCACTTCCTTTCTGAAGCTTGTAGATGCAGAATTTTTCATCATGTCTTACATCAGGACATCCAGTCTACCGCTCAAGACTGCTGTGGATTTTAAGCCATATATTGTAGGGTCTGGCTGGGTGTAATCAGCTGTTGATTCATTAAGCCATCTTTCCGAATCGCATTGCTGGCCCTTCTTCTCCCCTCCAGCTCATTGCACAGCTGAAGCATGCTATCTGTCACCATAAACCCACTGCCTGTCTTGACGCCGTTGTTTAATTAAACAACAGAGATAATTTCCAGGCCTTGTTGTAGTATAAATATTGTCCGATGCTTCGGCTCCATTTAAGCTTAACAGGAAAATATGAATAATGAGATGGGGTGTGAAATATATACAGCTCAGCAAAACATCCTACCAAAGTACTAGCTGGTGTTGATTTTCCACTTGGTTTCAGGGGACAAGGAAGGTCTGTGTAGGAGAAAGCCAGTCAGATTTTTCTTAGTCACATCTGATTCTTATTTTTTTCCTTCTTCTTCCTAGTTCTCACTGAGTTCAACGAAAGAGAATTGGCCATTGAGATTTCTTCCATAGATAAGTTTTTGGAGGTGTTTTAATATGGGTAGTCCTCAACTTAAAACCATTTGTTTAGTGACTGTTTGAAGATCCTTTGTCTTCTCCTTTCTTCTCTCCTCTCCTCCTGTAGGCTCCATTCTACTCCCTTCCCTTCCATTTTATTCTTCTCCCATCCACTCCACCCTTTCCAGTTCATTCTCCTCCCACTCCCCTCCTGTCTACTCCACTCTCTTCCTTTCTCCTCCCCCCTTCCCTTCCGGTTTATTCTCATCCCCTCCCCTCTCCTTCTGTACACTCCATTCTACTCCCTTTCCTTCCATTTTGTTCTTGTCCCTTCCCCTCCTGTCCACTGCATTGCACTCCACCCCAGGGGTGGGCTTCAAAATTTTTAGCAATGGGTTCTCTGCCTGGTTGCTGGGTGGGCGTAACCTAGTCAGCCTCCTGCGCCATGGTGGGAGGGTTGCCCTCCTCAGGCTCTGGAGGCTCTCTGGAAGCTGGAAATGGGCCCATTTCCACCCTTCCTGAACTTCTAGAAGGCCTGTTTCTGCCCTCCCTGAGCCTCCACACATGCCTTACCTGCATCCAAAATGGGCCATGTGGGGACTCCTGGGAGAGGCAGGATGGGACGAGCTGGGCTGGGTCAGCCAGGAATGGGATTTGGGGTTCTCCAAACTGTGCAGAATTTTAGCTAGGAGCTCTCCCAAACCCCTGTGAACCCCCAGTAGCCCATCTCTGCTCCACCCCGTTCCAGTTCATTCTTCTCTCCCTTCCTCTCCTCTCCTCCCCTCTCCTCTCCCTTCCTCTCCCCTCCTCCCCTCTCCTCTCCGTTCATCTCCTCTCATCCTATCCACTCTCCTATCTTCCCTTCCCTTCCAGTTTATTCTCATTCCCTCCCATCTCCTGTCCCGTCAATTTTTGAGGAGCTGATGGTAGTGTCATGCCCCTGTCGGAGACTGAATCCAAGGAGGAAGATGAACAGCTGACAGGGAGTGGGAGTGTGGCTCCATTGGCTGTGGAGGAAACTGGGGAAGGGTAGAGCAAGGAGGGAAGGGAAGTCCAATGGGGCAGAGAAAAGGAGAGGTAGAACAAGGGAAAGGGAGTTCAGAGGAAGACCCAGGCCCACCTCCTCTTCATCCTAGGGCACGCAGGGAGGAACAGCAAAGAGAGTAATGTGGATTGCGTGGGATACAGGGGAGGAAAGGGCCCTGATTCCCTTCATTCGCTACACCTGGGAATGAGAGTTTAAAAGAGATGCAAGCTGAGTGTGGCGTCTGCTGGGAACAAACATGAGTTTATCTTGTGTTAATTTTGATTATCTGTGCCCCTGGTGTCTTCTCAACTGTGTTGAGTTATTGCTGTGCCTTCACATCTGGAATTCCTGCTCCTGCCCTGCAGAACTAATTACCCCAACTTACCTTGATTGGACTTATAGTTACAGTTTTTGTTGACCATGTTTTGGACTTGATACTCTTCAGCCAAAGGCTGTCCTCGGGATAATTTTTCTCCAGCCCAGAAGGTCACCAGGACATTGGGGACAAAGTTGGAGTTAATAAAGGGACTCCTACGGATTATCTGACTGTGTTGCCTTTGTGCCACACCTCGGGTGTTCAAGGTGGCGTGGCTCTTCTTTCAGGACCATCTTCAGTGAAGGTTTTGAGGTTGATCTTTTCCCACCCGCTCTTGAGTGGAGCAGTTTTTTCCCCTACTAGTTTCATCCAACCACAGGTCCATCCAATTAAAAAAACTGAGAGCGAGGAAAGAGTTTTAACCATCTCCATCGAGGCAAGGCGGAAGGAACTTCTCATAAAATATATTAGAAACCCTGTTATTATCCTCATCAAAGCAGGAATTGATTTCAAACTGAGCTTTTGTGGCATCTTATGAAATTGCATTCCGGGCTATAATTATATTTTAATGGGGCTTTTAAGGCAAGTTCTTCTAAGAAGAAAATGATCATGTTCACTCGCTATTTCCTCACATTCTGCATTGTTTCCAAAGATTGCCATTTTTCCTTTATTGTGGTTAATGATTATTGGAAAATAACAGTCCACAGGTTGAGTGGAAATAACATTATTTTTTTGTTGTTGTTGTTTACTGTTGATTTGCCCTTTTAAAAAAAGCATGGCCTGTCAAGCAACAGGATATACAGTATATCCTTACTATTAAAAACAATAATTATAATCTATGTTTGAACGTGCTGGGAATGTTTTTTTTAAAGTAGCCTTCCTTCCCTATTTAAAACTCTAGCATTGAATGAGGATAATGGGAATATTTTATTGATGTGATAATTTTATTTTCATGGTGGAGGAATTATTATGACTTGATCACTTGGTGGAAATCCACACGAATCATAAAATCATATTAAAATCCATTCTACAATAATTGTCAAGATGTTTTGTCATGTCCAATTTACAGTTTTTATTAATTTAATGACCACTTTGTTAATCCCAGTAAGGACTCAGGAGGAATATGGATGAAACACAGTGTAGATAGAAGTAAGGAAGAAAGGAAAGGAAAGGGAAGGGGAGGGAAGGAAGGAAGGAAGGAAGGAAGG